TTCCTCCCCACCTTTCTTGAGAAAACGCATTAAACTCGTCCTTGAACGGAAATCCGAGAAGGAAACCATAAGGTGTTTTCAACGAGAATAAAAGAAGGGCATCTGCTTAGGTGTCTGGAAGTGGGCCGGTGGGTGAGGCAAGACAGAAACACACCACGGTGTGAATATAGCCAAGTACTCCATTTATTAACAAAATAAGTCTTACCAAGGGAGAGCTCTATTCATCTCAAACGGCCCCGCAGCCCCCTGCATCAGGCCCAGAGGGTGGGAGGGAGGGGGTTGGGAGAAGACCCAGCGCCGAGTCTTCGATCCCAGTAACTGAGGGAGCCCACGGCCAACTCTGGGGACTCTTGGGTCAGGCCTGGGAAGGGGTGACGGAGTTCTGCTGTGATCCATGTGCTCCCTGACTCCCCTCCCACACCCCCCAACGGTGCTAACAGGATTGTATTGCCAGCTGATACTGCCACTGGTCTGCTTTGGAAGGATCTAGCAAGAATCACCGACCCAGCCCCCATCGCCAGGACAGGGACCCCTGCTCCAATTATCAGAGAAAAACAGTAACTATAAAAACACTTCGCAAACTATAAAGAGCAAAGTTTCACGCCACAGGGCCTTCTAGGACTTTCACTTGAATGAGATGAGCCCTGCCGGCCCCCCCTCTCCAGCAGGCAGTGCGACCACCCCCGGGTGTTTGGGGCCTTTCAGAGTCTGGAAAGGGGAAAGGCTACTGAAGACTCTCCAGCCACTGACTCGTGCTCAGAGCAAGATAGGGGAGCAAGGCTCTAATTTGGGGGACCAGGGTGCAGACCAAGGAGCCCAGGGGAGACAGAGTGGCAGGGGAGGGGTCACAGGGCAGAGTCCCGGGTCCACAGAGCTCAAGATCTCCGGCCCCCAAGATCGCTCCCAACAACCCCAAATGCGTGACAAAAAAAATACCTCCTGTTACTTGTACAAAGGAAAAAAAAAAAATCCAACAACAAACCAGAACCTCGAATGGACGGAAACAAGAAGGAATGAAGGGCAGAGGGGCGGGGCGGGGAGGAGGAAACGTAGTTTGAACGTTAGGAAGCATGCAAGCAAGTCCCCCCGGAGAGAAAACAAAAAGAAGCTACCACGCTCCCCCCTCCTCCGGGGTAAAACCAAACCAATCAAAAAAAAAAAAAAAAAAATGCAAACTTACATCTAAGAAAAAATAAAACAGAAAAGAAAGGCAGAGGGGGGCGGGGGGGCATGTAGTTACTGGTGTGATTAATATTATTATTCGGGGGAGGGGAGGGGCGAACAGACTCTTTGCATACCATTGACTCGTGTGGGTCGTTAATGCACTTATATTCCCAGCTTGTAAGCTAACATTATAGTAAATAAATACACAGTCCGGTGGGGAGGGGAGGGATCTGGGCTGCTTGAGCAGGAAGTTTCCTGTGTATAACGATATTCAGAACAAAGCCGGGGGCTCAGCCTTTGGAGGTGACTTGCGGCGGCGGGTGGGGTGGGAGGGCGCGGGGAGGAGGCAGGGCTGTGGTTACTGGTACCCGAGCGCCGAGGCGGAGGCCAGTCTCTGTCCGTACAGCGCGTACGGTGAGTAGTAGGGTCCGGCTGTGGGCAGCGACGGCACGGCCAGCCCCCCGGCTGTGGACAAGTGGCTCTTGCCGTATGGGTGGTACCGGCTTAGCCCCAAAGTGTGTGGACTCCTCAAGGACAGCGACCCCGGGCTGCCGGGGGCGGCGGGCGGGGGCAGGTGCAGGTGGCAGGAGGCGGCGGCTGCGGCGGCGCTGCCCAGGCCCGAGGCCCCCGGGTAGGCGGCCAGAAGTTTCTCGGCGCCAGGCAGGGCCGTGTGAGTCCGCAGGTGGCTGAGCAGCTCCTCCGAGGTGGCGAAGCGCTTGTCGCAGGGCCCGCTGGCCGCCACCCAGTTGCAGCTGTGGGGCAGCGGTTCGTTCTGCAGCATGAAGCCGTAGGTGTAGAGCGGGTGGCCGGGGAGTGCCGCCTGGGCGGCGCTGGACGAGAGCGCGGCCGGCTGCAGCGGGTGCCCCGGGTACACCAGCGGGTAGCCCCCCGCCTTCAGGCCGGGCCCGGCCGGGTCATGCGCGCTGCACGTGGAGCAGCCCGAGCCGCCGAGGTGCGAGGTGCCGTGGTAACCTCCCAGGCAGTAGGGGTCTCGGCATAATCCCTGCAGGAAGGACGGCGGGGAGGCCCCAGTCAGCGGGCTGGAGCTGGGGGGCTTGCCCGGCGGCAGGCCCAGGCCCCCCGACAGCTGGCCTCCCACGAGGCCAGACTTGCTGGGATCCAGGCCAGGCACGAACTGAGACGGGTAGCCGGCGTAGGCACCCACGATGGAGCCGTGGTAGCCGATGCTGGAGGGAGGCAGAGGGAACACCGAGTGGCCCGGCTTGTAGGGCGACACCGGCGCCACGTGGCCGGCCCCCACCAGCGCGGAGGGCGGCTCCGACTTGCGCCCGGAGGCCCCGGGCTCGCCGCCGCCGCCACCACCACCACCGCCGTGCGCGCCGGGGTCCCCGCTGCTGCCGCGGCTCACGGTCGCCGGCTCCGGGCTGGGCTTGGACTCCTGGTCTTTCTTGTCCAGCTCCCCGCTGGCCCCGGTCTTGCAGTCAGAGTGGTGCGGGGAGCCACCCCGGGAACCGCCAGGGGAGGACGAGGACGAGGAAGCCGAGACCGGCGCTCCATGCGGGGGGAAGGGCGTGCAGGCGGCGCTGGGCACCCTGAAGCCCGCCTTGTCTCCTGGGGACAAGGAGGAGGAGCTGGAGGAGCTGGAGGACACGGAGGAGGAGCCGCTGTCCTTGCGGGAGTCGCCGCCCCCGGAGCCCTTGGAGTAGGGCTTGAAGCTGGACTTGTCCTCGGCCGGGGAGTCCCCCAGCTGCTTGAGCGCCGCAGAGGCCGAGGCGGCGCCAGAGGCCGAGCGGCCCGGGTCCTTCTCCGCTCCCAGCGCGTTGGCCGCCGCTACCGAGTTGAGCTTGGACGAGGGCGGCGGGTCCGGCTTGCCGATCTGCGAGCAAGTCTGGGCCAGCAATGCCAAAGGACTCTTCTTGGCGTCCAGCTGTGGGAGACAGCGGCAAGGGGAGGGAGAAGGGGGTGAGACCAGGGACCCACGGAGCGGCCGGGGAAGGGGGCGTCTGGGGGGTAGGGTGGGTGCGGTGGGAAAGGACGGCCTCAGGGAGAGGGGCTGCGAGCGCGGGGGCTGGGCGCAACTGCGCTCACACTGCGCATCGGTAGTGGTGGGATCCCAAGCTCCCCCGGGTCTCAGACGGCGCCGCAGGCCCTGGGGAACGGGCCGTGGAAGGCGTCCACCGAAGGCCACCCCGGGGGAAGGTGACTTCTCTGGACTCAAGGCTGGGGGAGGGGCCGTGACTCGCCCCCTGCTCTCTCATCTCCTCCTCTCTAGGCCCGGGTTAAAAACTTATGCCTTCAGTTTGGGGAACTTCGCTTGGGACGGGTTTCTGGCTGCGGCGCCGCGGGGTAGGAGCGGGGAGAAGCTGGTTCTTGAGCCTGGGCCTCCGTGGGCGCTCTCTTCGGAGCCCCCCTCCCTCCCGGGGAGGGCCTCCAGGGGAGCGGGAGGAAGAAGGAGCCGGGGTCGGGAGTGCCCGGGCGTCGTGCGCTCCAACCGGATAGGGCAGAAGCGGAGTGGGACGGGGGGGGGGGGGGGGGCGCGATCGGGCTTCAAAGAGAACAAACCCGGGTGGAAAGGTGGGGGTGGGGGGCCGATAAAAGCCCAGGAGACAGACTCTTTGGCCTGGGGACTGGGTGCCGAGGAAAAGTAAAGGGCCCAGTGGACACTCCGAGAGCAAATCCAATCCGAGAGAGGAAACGCGAAGCTCCGAAGGGCGAGCGTGGAAGGGGAACCTTCTCCCCCGGGGAGAAGCCCGGGGGCAGAACCCAGTGGGCTCCGATCCCTCTGTATCTCCGTCCCTCCTCTCACTCCGTCCGCCAGTGGGGCCGGACCCGAGCGTCGCACCGAGCCGCGGGGCGCAGGGAGCCGGGCAGTGGTGGGCGGAATGGGGCGGGCGGTCGGCGGGCAGCGACCAGGGGACTGACCTCGATGGGGCTCACGGGCGTGGAGGACAGCGGCTGCAGGTACTCCGGGTGCAGGAGGTGGCCGGTGTGAGCGCTCAGCATCTTCAGGACCCGGATGGGAAGCCGGTTCGCCTGGCGCAGGGGGTCCGCCGGGGGCAAGAGGGACACCGCCGCCGGCCTCTTCCCGCCGCCGCCGCTGCCGCTGCCGCTGCTCTCGGGTGTCCTTGGGTTAGATCCAGCGGGCGAATCGCTCATTTGGAGGAGGCAGCGCCGCTGGGGGGGCGGGGAGGGCGGGGGCGCACCGGGGAGGCGAGCTCCCGGGGCGGGTGGGCTCGCTCCGCAGCGCCGAGCGCGGTGCAGCGGTCGCCGCGTCTCCACCCCTCCTCCTCCTCCTCCGCCGCCGCCGCCTCCGCCGCCACCGCTGGCCCCGGCGAGCAACACAAAAACCTTCGCCTTCCGCGAGCCGCACGTCAAATAGCCGCGATCGGCAGCCACACTTCAAAGGGATCGCCGCGCCCGCCCAATCGCCGATCTCGCCGGGACCCCGGGGCGGGGAGAGCGCCGGGCGCCGCCGGTGGGCGGGGAGAGCCTTAAAGGGGCCGCGCCCGCCAGCCGCCGCGCCGCGGCCTGGCCCCACCGCCGGCCTCCTCCCCTGCCCCCAACCGGGCCGGCCCGGGCCCTGGGGTCCCGGCGAGATCGGGGCTTCCCCGGGGACCCTGGGCTCTGCGCCCTGCCCTCCACGGGCTTTCCTGTCGTTCTTAGCTCTCTGCCTTCGCACGGCTGGGGTGGGGTGGGGTGGTGCTGGCCGGGGAGTGGGGGCAGGTCACCCGCAGGCCGTGTGTCTCTGGGGTGGGGTGAATTGGGTGGGCTGGGAAATGTGGGTAGGAGCCCCCGGCGGACGGCTCCGGGACTGCCAAGTCCCAGCCGCTCCCGGAGGCCGCCTGGGGGCGGGCCGCGCCTCACGAACCCCAGCTCGGCTCGGGTCCTGCTCGGGTTTTCAGCTCTTTTCCCCCTGAATTGGCTTCCTCCCGGGTCTGCTCACTAGGAAGCGCCCGAACCTCGGAGGCAGCCACGGGTCTCGCGACGCGGCGAAAACCGCTCCAGCAACTTTGAGCCAGCCCTGTCCGCAGCCTGCAAGTTTGAGGACTTCCCTTCCGGGGTGAGATGGTCTCGATAAGGCGCGGTCCCCGCTTGTGGTGAGCGCCGCCGGGAAGCGCCTGGCGCGCGGTGCCTGCGCACCGATTTATAGTTTCGATGCTTGGGTGTGTTCGGGTTTCTTACGGCGTGCGGCTTAGGGGCACACAATTCTCTCACGGCACCGCGCCTGACTGCTGTTTCTGGGGTAGCGGGTGGGTAGGGACGTGGAGGGGTTTGCATCCTAGAAGAGGCGGGGTCTCTGTAAGCGCCGCACCTCGATGTAAGCTCCAAAGATGCGGCCCCTCCATGCCCCGCCCCCGCCTTTTCTTTTCCAGCGGGAAGATGCCCGAGGTTTTCCCAGGGGAATTTCGGAATTAAAAACTTTTAAATGAAAGTAACGGTATTCCCCCTCCACCCTGTCTCTTTCCTCCCGTGCCTTTCGGATAAAGTATGCATTGCCAACTTCGCACCCGGCAGAGATTTCACATCGTCACTGTCCTGGCGTTAAAGTTCCCAGTCCGCCGATCAGAGGGTGAAGCTGGCCCTTTGTGCTTAGGCCTTTGGGGAGACCCCGTTCCCCGTTCTCTCGGCGGCCAGTGGAGGCGCGCTGGTGTCACTGCCCCGCTCTGAGCACCCCCTCCCAGCCTGCATCTGTCACTCGGAATGTCGGCCTGTCACTCGGGGCATACTGTTCTGGGACTGCCGGCCCCTGACTCTGCTGCTCATTGATCAACGCCTGGAGATCCCAAGAAGGGCAGAGAAGATTTCAAAGGCGTTCTTCCAACAGAAACGAGTATCACAGAAATAACAAATGGCAGTCTTTACGATGCTCAGTAGAGAAGGCACCAGGCACCACTCCCAGGCCACGTCAATCAAACACTAAACTGAATGTACTCCTTGGATCGGTCTGGTTTTTGGATAGTATGCTTAGACCTCTAAGAAATTACACAGGCTTTCCCTACCCCGATTTTAATCCTTATAAAATTAGGTTACAATGAATGCCAAGGGATATCCTGACTGGGTGATGTATTCCATACTGTAGCAAGGGAGGTACAAGAAGGAGGGGGAGACCCCATTTATTGTGGTGGTCCCTATCCCCTGCCCACCCTTCCTTCTGCCAGCCTCTGAGCACTCTGACATCTTTGCCACTGCCAGCATCAAGTTTAAATGACCACTGCAAGCCTGCTTCAGTCTACCAGATAATTTGGCCTTTGGGAGACTTCTCTGCAGAGAGAGAGAGCAGAACCTTCCAGAATGAAGACAGTGGGCCTTGGTAGGCCACCTTGGAGGAGGAGGAGGATCTGGGAAGAGGGGAGCCCTAGGAGACAGGAAAAGATGAAAGACCCCTTCTTGATGATCACAATCAGCCCAGCTGTGAACACCAGCCAAGGACTCTTGCTCGGACCCACGCAGATGTGTCTTCTAGATGATTAATGGGGAATCAGGAGCAAAGGGGAGGGGAGAGAGAGACAAAGGCATGTAGGAATTTGGAAGGAATAGAGGGGCAGGAGGCAACAGAAAGAGGGGAGGAGAATGCAGGGTGATAAAATATTTACTGTCTTTTTGGGGAGGAAAGGCGAAGAAGGTAAGTAATGAATGAAAGTGGGGGAGTGGGGAGTGGGGGGCGGGAGAGGAGGAGGTGAGGACAAGGTGACCAGGCTTGGGGTGAAGGGTGGGGAGTTTGCCCAGGGAATCACATATTGTCATCAAAAAACCCTGCTCCCTTAGCTCACAGCTCATCACTAGGAACTGGGGTTGCCAGACAGCACTTTGGTGGAGACTAGCTCTGTTTCCCTTCTCCTGGAAAATGCTAGCAAGGGACTGGGCCGTGCTTCCTTTTGGGTTGCTGATGAGCAAAGTGGGGTCCCTTTGGCTGGATCCATCCAATCACCTTAATTGGGAAAATGGAAAATCATACTCAGCCAGGCCAGAGGCCTAATTAAAAGATGGTTGTTTAGTTACTAAGTTGTGTCTGACTCTTTGCGACCCCATGGACTGTAGCCCACCAGGCTTCTCTGTCCATGGATTCTCCAGGCAAGAATTCTCGAGTGGGTTGCCATGCCCTTCTCCAGGTGATCTTCCCAACCCAGGGATCGAACTCGTATCTCCTGCATTGCAGGTGGATTCTTTACCACTGAGCCACTGGGGAAGTCCTAATTAAAAGATGCTAGAGGATTATTACAATTGGTAATTGATATTCACTTAGCTGAAATGCTAACCTCTACAGAGTCCTAAATGGGGTCCTAGTAGCCTGTTGCAAGGGCCATTTTCAAAGGAATGACTTGTCACCTGGGAGAGAATAAGGTTAAAAGAAGTTTTCAGTTGGGCTGTGTTTATTGCAGTTGATGGGGTGTGGCTGAAAAGGCCATGTGAGACACTGTCTTGTTCAGGGCCCAAGTGCTTCCCTTGCAGAAAAGTGGTTCTTGTGTGCTAAGAGGCCCTTCCCAGATTGCCCTTCGAGGGAGGGCACCATGATAGTCGGACAGGGTGGGGCTGCTTGAGCATCCCCCCTGCCAGTGTGGTGAAGAGTTACATTCTGTGTTTCAGGCTCTCCGTAAGCTTCAGGTAGCTTTGTCATTCCCATGTATATCATGGAGAGGTTAGTCACTTACTCAAAGGTCACTGACCAGTGGGTGACAAGTCCTCATGGAGTTAGGTCTCTGGGACCTAGGCCTCCGTCTCACATTTCTGCCGTGGTCCCGGACAAAGTAACCCCGCTGAGCTTTGATTTCCTCAGTTATAAAACCTAAAAGTATGGAACTTTCCTGGTGATCCAGTGGCTGAGACTCCATGCTTCTAATGTAGGGGACCCAGGTTCAATCCCGGGTCAGGGAACTAGAACCTGCATGCCACAACTTAATAAAAAAAAAATCACCCATTACACTGCTAAAGATCCCACGTGCCACAAATAAGACTGGATGCAGCCAAATAAAGAAATAGAAATAAATATTTAAAACTAAGCAAAAAACAAAAAACCTAGCAGTGACCACCTCAGGGTCGGGAGGCCAAACCGGACGATGCATATCGCACGTCTAGTGCTTGGCACAAAGGAAGTCCCGAGTCAGTGATAGCTGTGACCAATAGCGTCGTCTGCATCTGTGGGGCGATTGCTCAGGAGAACAGTCGCCCCAGGCCTGGAGGATCTGAGGCTCCGGCCCAGCCCCCGACTCAAGTGAAGGCACCCCTCCCCCGGTCTCCACTCAAATAAGTCTTTGGGAAAAAAAAACAACAACAAAAACCAACCTCTCAGAAGCCATCACGAAAATCCTTTAGGAAATTCTGAATATTTATAGATTTTTTTTCACGATTTCAATTTACATAAAACTCGCCACCCAGGAAAAAAAAAACCGCCTGAGTCAGGCTGGGAGGTGCGTTGTGTGGCGTTAATGCGGAGTTTTCCATCGTCGCGGAGGCCGAATTGCCTGAATGATGGGTTCTCTCTACATGACACTCAAGCCCTAATGGAAACAACAGGAAATAATATCTCACTGGGTAACTATTTACTTTTTTTTTTTTTTTTTACAAGCTGTAAGAACTCTGAAAAGTCTGCCTCATAGAGGACTTGGTTTTCCTCCCTGGCGCTTAATATCTTTCAGCGGCTGGCAATTACTGCCTTGGCCAGGAGCCCTGATTCAGCACTACCTGCGTCTGCCTAGCTTCAGACACAGCCCCAGGCACCGGGAGGCCAGAGGAGCCCGGGGCACCGTGAGAGCAAGCGGGCCAAGCTGGAAGGACCGGCCTTGCTGGGGAGCTTGCTCTGGTGGCCCTTTCTTTTCTGTTCTCACAGCTCCAATTCTGCTCTGTTCTTACACTCATCACGGGGCACCTGCCAGTATTTATTGACTTGTCCATCCTCCTGCTGGACCGCGGATGCTTCTGTATAGCTCTCATCATCCTCTTTGTATTCTGTTGCCTAGAGGGATGTCTAACCATCGTGGTCACTGCAGCTTACACGAGAGCCAGGCACGTGTAAGAGCTTTGCATGATTTCTCTCTAGTCCCCGTGGGAGCCCTAGGAGGTAGGTCCTATGGTTACCCCATTTCACCCAGGAGAACGTGGAGGCACAGAGAGGTTAAGTACCCCCCGCCACCAATTCCAGCTGGTCGGAGGTGGGGGCTTGAATCCACGCAGTCTGAATGCCATCCATGCTAGTTTGTTGATGAATGAATAAGAATTTTATGTCGGAGGGTTATTTAGCTCTGTCTCTCCTTTCCGTGTAAACAAAACGGTGGATGACTTAGTATTTTTCAAAATGTCAACTGTATGAGCCCATTAAAGGATCTTTCCCCAAATACGTGTTTGTGTTCATCATCTCGCAGCAATTTTCTGAGTTATTTTGGGCAGGTGTCCCCCCCCCACTTTGACAGATAATGTCGGGGGGCCCCCCAGAGCTTCTGGAGAAGCCTGAAATCGGGTGGTAGTCCCCGCAGAAGAAGGCCTCCTGGATCTCCTTTCACAGCTCCATCACCTCGGAGATGGCGAGGTAACTCCCTTTGAAGAAAAAAAGGAAGAATTACCTCCTTTCCCTCCCCCCCACCTTGAGTTTCCTTTGGAGAAGTGGTGGGAAGGAAGGGACAAAGGAAATGTAGACTGAAGCTTATCTTCCAGCCCCCTGTTTGATCCTGGTCCTTGAGCTGGGTGCTTTGAAGAAGTGGTTTCATTTATCTCCTATCAGCCCTTGGGGAGATAGGCAGGGCGGCTGGGGGTTGGGGGGGGAGGCGAAGGAGGGGGGTGCCCAGAGGTGTGCTTTTGAAGTTCCCCTCCCTGCACCAGCCCCACCCCAGACATCAACCTTAGCCCTGAGCAGTCACCCCTGACGACTTTGTTCCTTTGGGCCTTCAGGTTTCTTCCAGATTTCCCTTTTAAGTTGCAGATACTGCTGGGAGGAATCATCCTTTAGTAATCTGCCAACACCTTGGCTGTGATTAGCAGAGAGTGTTTGACCCTGGGTAATAATAACATTTATGGAGCCTTACGGTATGCCAGCCTGTCTGAGCTCCTTACCTGTAAGAACTCATTCACCTCTCACTACACACTGATGAGGTAGGGAGTATGCTTGTTTTTATAGGTGAGGCCCTGAGGCTCAGAGAGGTTAAGTAATTTGCCCAAGTTACACAGCTCAAAAGTGGTAGAACCAGGATTCAAATGCAAGTATCTGTTTCTGAGCTAATCCGAGTATAGGTCTGAGGGAGAGAGCAGCAGGAAAGCTAATGATATCAAGGACTTCCCTGAGAGTCCAGTGGTTAAGACTCAGTGCTCCCCGAGCAGGGGCGTGGGTTTGAACCCTGCCTGGGGGACTCAGATCCCACCTGCTGCATGGAACAGCCTCATTATCAATATCAGTTCAGTCGCTCAGTTGTGTCCAGCTGTTTGTGACCCCATGGACTGCAGCACGCCAGGCCTCCCTGTCCATCACCAACTCCCGGAGCTTACTCAAACTCATGTCCATTGAGACAGTGATGCCATCCAACCATCTCATCCTCTGTCGTCCCCTTCTCCTCCCACCTTCAATCTTTCCCAGCATCAGGGTCTTTTCCAATGAGTCAGTTCTTCGCATCAGGTGGCCAAAGTATTGGAGTTTCAGCTTCAACATCAGTCCTTCCAATGAATATTCAGGCCTGATTTCCTTTAGGATGGACTGGTTGGATCTCCTTGCAGTCCAAGGGACTCTCAAGAGTCTTCCCCAACACCACAGTTCAAAAGCATCAATTCTTTGGCACTCAGCTTTCTTTAGAGTCCAGCTCTCACATCCACACATGACTACTGGAAAAACCATAGCTTTGACTAGATGGACCTTTGTTGGCAAAGATTTGTAAAATGCTGTCTAAAAAACAGCAAATGACTTCAACCATTTTCCAGAATACTGGTCTTCGAAACCAGGTTTTTATTTTCATCTCCAGCTAGTGGTAAAGAACCTGCCTCGCAGTGCTGGAGACTAAGAGACACAGGTTTGACCCCCCGAGTTGGGAAGATCCCTTGGAGGAGAGCATGACAACCCGCTCCAGTATTCTTGCCTGGATAATTCCATGGACAGAGGAGCCTGGTGGGCTACGGTCTGTGGGGTCACAAAGAGTCAGACACAACTGAAGTGACTGAGCACCCACACCAGGACTGAGAATGTGGCAGAAACGAAACTGACGCAGAGAAGGAAGTAAGGTGAACTTTCATTTCATTAATTGAACTGGACTGAAGGAATTCATTTGACTACTGTTTATTGGCTACTTGATAGGTGCAGGCCTGAGGTGATAACAGGGGAGGTAAGGACCAGGGCAGGCTGGCCAGTCCTCGTCACCTCCAAGACACACACATTCCCGGCTCCTAAAAGGCAGGGCAGTCTTCTCCTTTGGGCACCTGTGGGCTTCTTTTGCAGATTAAAAGAAAAAGTCAGGAGGCGCTAACTGAAATCGTGCTCATTACCTTGTACTTTCAGTTCAGTTCAGTCTCTCAGCCCTGTCCGACTCTTTGCGACCTCATGAATTGCAGCATGCCAGGCCTCCCTGTCCATCACCAACTCCTGGAGTTTACTCAAACTCATGTCCATCGAGTCGGTGATGCCATCCAGCCATCTCATCCTCTGTCGTCCCCTTCGCCTCCTGCCCCCAATCCCTCCCAGCATCAGGGTCTTTTCCAATGAGTCAACTCTTTGCATGAGGTGGCCAAAGTATTGGAGTTTCAGCTTCAACTTCAGCCCTTCCAATGAACACCCAGAACCCCAGGACTTATCTCCTTTAGGATGGACTGGTTGGACCTCCTTGAAGTCCAAGGGACTCTCAAGAGTCTTCTCCAACACCACAGTTCAAAACAAACAAACAAACAAAACACCTTGTACTTTAGTTGCCCACTATTCTTTTTTTAAAAATTTAATTATATATTATTTTTTAAATTGAGGTACAGTTGACTTACAAGATTATATTAGTTTCAGGTGTACAACAGTGATTCACAATTTTTTATCGATTATACTCCATTCAAAGTTGTGATAAAATGTTGGCTCTATTGCCTGTGCTGTACCATATATCCTTGTGGCTAATGTATTTTAGACATAGGAGTTGGTTCCAGTTGCCCACTGATCTAAAAAGCATTTGCTTCATGTTCAGTTCAGATTCTACCACATTTGCTGAGCACCTCTGGGTGCTGTATGCATCATTTCAGGTGTGTTGATTCACCATCTCTCATTTGGGTATAAGGGAGTCCAAGAGCAGGGCGGGCCCCCAGAAAGGGAAGCGGGGACCAGGGTTCCTCAGATGTCCTGTCCCCATGCTCTGAGTGCACCCTCCCGGCCAGAACCACTGGGCCCCCAGGGATCCTGGTAGCAAACCGACTATTTCAGTTACACAGGACAGATGTCACACCTGCTTCTGACACCCATGCACTTCAGCCATGAAGGTGTTGATAGTTCTTTGATGCCCACCCCCCACCCCTTCCAGTGGATAAGCCTCTAAACTTGCCCAAAGCAGGCCCTTTGCTAGGCTGGCCTCCCAATTAGCAGGGATGTGCAGCTTCAGATTCATTTCAACAAACACGATTAGAGAAAAGCGAAGAGCTGCTCAGGCAGTGGCTCAATTACCGCTGCTTGTATTTGATAAAACCAAATTCCAAGATGTCAGAACAATTTCGAGGAGTGTTTATTTCCATGGCCCTCTGCCAGCCTCTGCTGGGAGATGGAAACCCAAGAGGCGGGGTCCCAACCAAGCCGCTGGCTGCGAGTATCCAAGTATACAGTAGTCTATTCAGAGTGGAGATTTACATAATAAGCCCCCTTTAAAAATGATTTAAGCTATTACCTTTTTTGGAAACATGCACTTATTTATATATGATTAAGTGCATTCCCATGGCGCCAAATTCCCAAACTATGAGAATGCGCATTGAAAAAGACCTCCCTCTCGCAATCCAGTTTTTCTCCCCCAGGCATCAATGCTATGAGTGTATTATCCATCCTTCCAAAGGTATTCTGTACATATATTAGCAAATACATATGTATTCTTTCTCCCTTTTATACACAAACGGCAACATACTACACACAATGTTCTGCAGTTGCTTTTTTTTTTTTAATTAATATAGTTTGGAGATTGCATCATGGGCTTCTGCATTTTGTTTATTTACTTTTTTAGTTTCACCGCACTGTTACATGGCTGTGTGATGAGTTTATTTGAGCATTCCCCTGCTGGTGGACATTTAGATGGTTTCCAGTGTTTGTTCCTGCGATGAGTAACCATATATAATGAACATAAATATGTTTATGTGTGTATTTATGTATACAATAAGTACCCTACATAGGAACCTTCAAGTTTCAAACTTCCAAAGATGCGAACGTACGTTCCATCAACATCAGGCGTAAGTGAAATTGCAGCTTGCCCTCCGTCTCCCATTGTTGGTGGCGACCCTTCAGTTCTACCATCTCCCACCTCCTCTCCTTCCTCCGGTCAGTAACTCTTCTCTCCTGTTCACTCGATGCCAGCGCCTGGGTGCCAGTCATTGTACTGTACTACTGTACTTTTCAAGGTACTGTACTATAAGGTTAAAAATCTCTTTGTGTGTTTGTTTTATATGTATCGCTTGTGTGAAAACTATCATAAACCTATTACAGTACAGTATTATAGTATTAATACTGTTACAGTATTATAAACCTATACAGCTGATTGTATTAGCTGGGGACCTAGGCTAACTTTGTTGGACTTATATATATAATTCTCCATGTGTGCTAGTAAAACTATAGGGTAAGTTCCTAGGAATAGAAATGCAGGGCTGAAAGCTATATGCGTTCAAAATAAGCCCCTTTCAAGAAAGTAGGTAGGACCCAACACACTCTTGGAGTGAATTAGAAGTTCAGCCGAGGGACTCGGGGAAGAAAGCCAGGGCAATGCCTCCAGGAATTTCTGGTCACGTTCATCTGGAGAAGGCTCAGTAAGAAGGGTTCCGTTTCCATCTCTGGATTTAAGAAAATGTGCGTGCTTCTCTTGCTTTCCTCCTCCTTCTCGTTCCACCTTCTTCCTCATTTAGCAGAAGAAAGAGGAGAGGAAAAATTAGGTCCAGCCTCAAGGAAAACATGATTTTGATAAATACACATTTTAATATTGCCAACTTTCCAATCAGTGAACCCTAACAGGAATGCTGGATTGTCTGCACCTTTTTTCGTTCACACTCACAAGAAGGCAGAAGTTTGTGCCAAAGATAATACGTAAACTGCTGTTGTATCCATGGAGGTTTGTATCTGGTTCTCACTGCGAATTTCCAGCACAACGCTTGTGATGTGTCTGAAGACATCAAATCATGACATCAGTAATTACTATTAGCAGAGTGCTTGCCAAAGCGGCTGAGCAGCCTTCACTTGGTTCTTATTTTAATATTGTATTTTTGGATAGGTATTGCCTGCAGAATTCAAAGGTACCAAGGGCATGGGTATGTAACTTCTCAACAAGGATTGAGATGATAAGAGTTTTCTGCTTTATCGACCATTTGCCAAGAAAAAAAAAATAAAAAAAGAGCAGCAGGCGATGCTGCTCTGCAGGTGTTTGGACACCTTAGTTTCTCGCTGCAAAGATGCACAGGAAAGCCTCTGTCTCCTCTAGTTCAGGCCCAGGGCTGGGTCTCCTTGGTCTGCTGAGTCCAAGGTCACTTTTTGTGAGTGACCTTTGACCCTGTGACACCGGGAGGAGTCGGGACTGCGCAGAGTATCGATGGGCCATGGAATCAGGATAAACGTTCATTCCAGACCGTCTAAAGCAGAATTCTAGGGGTGTCCCTGGTGGTCCAGTGGCTAAGACTCCATGCTCCCAATGCAGGGGACCCGGCTCAGTCCCTGGTCAGGGAACTAGATCCCACGAGCTGCGACTAAAGATCCCATGTGCGGCACAGCCAAAATACTTATTAAAAAAAAAAAGAACTGTACCATCTTGAAGACCTTTCTCAGGCATCCTGAGGGTACCCCTTCCACGTTTCCCAAGGCCCATCTTGATACATTGAACACAGCCACTTTCTGCCAGGCTGTCTTTGTTTTTCTCATTCATTTCCTTAAATAATTAATAAATCAACGCACAAATAATAAAAACAACAGCAACAACCAAAAAAAAAAAAAAAAAAAAAATTNTCAAAAAAAAGAAAAAAAAAAAACCCAACCCAAACAATCCAAACCAGAACAGTTACGGTAGCTGAAAATGCTGAGGAGACTGTGTCCTTTTCCTTATGATGTTTATGCCTGTTCCACATCAGGCCCCGGGTGAATTTTTCCCCCACTGCAGTCAACATGCATAATGACAATCTTATTTATGACAGGAGACATGTTTTTGTTTTAAAACAACTGACAGAGCTGCGAGATGGGGAACGACAAGAAAGTGCGATTGGGTGGGTGGGCTGGGGGAGGCGGGTAGGAGGCTGGCGAAGGAGAACGGCATTTTCTTGATTAAAAAGCTGGAATCCATCCTTTACTTGTGGAGCAAGTGAGGAAAGGCGTCCAGGAAGAACGCTGGGGTGGGGACGTGACGTAACGACAGTCCTCTGAGGTCTGGACAAGGGGGCTTGGGTGGCCTTTGAGCTGCTTCTGATTGGGGGGTGTCAGAAGGGACCACGTGTATGAAGGTGCAGAGACAGTGTGAACAGGAGAAAGGTGAATTCTGCTCTCCAGCCCACCTCTCCCTGGGGGTCTCCGGTCAGCTCAGCAAGCATCCAGGAGCCCCTAGAGGTCTGCCCTTGATGTACTGACTCCCAGTCCAGGCAGAGAAGTGAACCCAGATGCCCTGGGAATCTCGGGAGAACAGGGAAGTTTGTACAGATGGCTCTTTCCCCTCGGGTTTAGGGAAGAGAAATACAATGTTCTCACCTGTGTTTGAGGAGCTGGCGCTTTCCTCTGGCCAGCCCCTGGGAGTTGTAATCTCCTTAGAGCTGTTCCTTCCTAAAAGTCTGGAGGGGAAATGGTAAAAGATGAAGCCTGACCAGGAGAGGAGAAATAGCAAAATCAAGAATGATCTAGAAAGTGGAAAGAAAGAAAGAACTTGGATGAGAAATAAGTTAATGACTCCACGGTAAGAGTAACTTGAAAAAAAATCTCCCATAGGAAACAGTTTTATGGCTACCAAAGGGGAAAGGGGGTGGGGGAGGAGCAAATTAGGAGGTTGGGATTAGCAGATACAAACTACTCTTGTGAAATAAGTAAGCAACAAGATCCTACTGTATAGCACAGGAAACAATAGTCAATGTCTTGTAATAAACCATAATGGAAAAGAAAAAACAAAGTCTCTGGAGATAGTGATCATCAGATCCAGGGCTTGAGGAAAGGAATTAGAGTTCTCCTGGCATATCTTATTAGAATCTGTGTGTGTGTGTGTGTGTGTGAGTGTGTGTGTGTGTGTGTGTGTGTGTGTGTGTGGTTGGGGGGGTCTGTGTGTGAAGGGAAGAGTTGGCCAGAGGCAGCTAATTCCACTGAAGGATTGTTAGCTGTTTCTCTCCTTGATTTCTGGACATGCTTAAGTTGATATGGACATGATATGGACATGAGTTTGAGCAAACTCTGGGAGACAGTGAAGGACAGGGAAGTCTGGCGTGCATACCATAGGGTTGCAGAGAGTCAGACATGACTTACAGTGATTGAACAGCAACAGTGTTGATATGGGGTCCATCGGACCACTGGGTTGATTCAACCAGCTTTTCCTTTCTGAGATTGGCAGCGATACAGCTCTGGGCAACAAAGGCAGGCAGCCCGGGTCTCCAGGGCCCTGCACCCAGGAACCTGCCCATGCCCAGTCGTGGGGCTGGGCCGCCCCCACTTCTTTAGCTCAGACTTGCATAGGATAGATGGTTAAAGCATCGCGTCAGCTCCTTCTTTAGGGACATAAATTCAGACCTTCTTAAAACACCATCCCCAAACCACCCTGCAAACAAAGCTGAACACTGGTTTCTTAAACCCCAATATATTTTGCCAAATAAGAGAGTGTTAATACGCCTCCCTCCCCCTCTCCGAATGAATTGGATTACTTAAAGCATCTTTTTGGAGACGTCAGCAGTTTAATAGAGGCAATAAGTCAGGGCTGCCCTTGTGTTTTATTTTTCTGCCAGTATTTAGTTAATTAAAGAATGCAAATTAAAACACCTTAATTTATATAATATCAATATCAACGCCTTAAAACATTTGGCATAACTGCTCTGGCACGTCCCTTACATAAACTCTTCAGAACAGTGCTAATAAAAATGAAAAAGGTTGTAAATCACATTTAATTTATTCATCTTCTGTTTGGTACCAAAGTGTATGCCAAAATCAAGTTATTTATGAGCACGTCATAACAATAGGCACTTTTGTTGGTTGCAAATGACACAAAAGGTTTCTCTGAGGGATGTGTGTTTTAATTTGGAAATGTCTCCAGGTGCCTCTATTTTCTGGGCTCTGATTTCTCAAATTGCTAATATTTTCGCACCCAGAAAAAATAGATTTAGATATTGGAAAACATATAGAGCCTAAAAATATGGTGACATCTGCTCAGAAAGACACCTGCAACCATCTGTGTGTAGATAGATGTATACACCAGACGTCCTATGGCACTTGAGTCTTCTGGTGAGATAAAAGGTTGGTGATTTATATCTGATTTCTTAAATATTCCATTAAGAGGATTATCTCACAGGAGGCTTGGATACAGATGCCATTGGAAGGGATTTGGTGCAAGCCTGCTTTTTGAGAAGCGACCCCATGGATTGTAGCCCTCCAGGCTCCTCTGTTCATGGAATTCTCCAGGCAAGAATACTGGAGTGGGTTACCATGCCCTTCTCCAGGGGATCTTCCTGATCCAGGGATTGAACCTGCGTCTCCTGCATTGCAGGCAGATTCTTTACCCTCTGAGCCACCAGGAAGCCCCTAAACAGAGATGAACTGCATGTATTTGAATAAATAGCCAAACACCCGTCTTCCTCTTTCCCCTCCTTTGCTGATATACCTTTCTTTCTCTGGTGGTTAGGAGCCTAGAGTACATTTTTTTCCAACCTGGAGGAAGAATAGGAGGTGGCACTCAGGAGTCCCAAGGGATGGTGTGCTCTCTCTGCGGCCCATGGTGAAGCTCCCTAATGCAATTAACCTTTTTAAACTCACTACTTTACCCAGCTTTCACCTCCAATCTTTACTCAGTGCTCTGTGGATCTCAGGGCATGTGGGACAGTGAACAGAAGTTCTAGAAAAACCCTCTCCATCCTGAAAACCCCAAGCAAATGCAAAGCTCTAGCCAACTGGTGGCTCCTCCACATGGGCACGAAGAGCCCAGTACAATCCTGTGCCCCGTTTTATTATCTTTTTTTCTTTATCTGTTAACCATCTTGAGATACCAGTTAGCTTCCCTTGTACCACGGTGCCCAGAACTCACAGGAGCTCCGCCAGATATTCTAAAATTTAAAGGAAATGCATTTCTTGGATATCATAACTAGTAGCTCAAGGGGGTTAACAATTTCAACATTAAACTGAGTTACATTCAGTTTGATTATGTCAGTTCTTGGGAACCTGGGTATTCATTATCTTTAAACCATTTTTATTTGTTTTATTTATGTCTGTGCTGGGTGTTTGTTGCTATGCACGGACTTTCTCTGGTTGTGTGTGAGCTTCTCATTGGGGTGGCTTCTCTTGTGGAGCACTGGCTGTGGGGTGAGAGGGCTTCAGTAGTCATGGCTCACGGGCTCTAGAGCTCAGGTTCAGTGGTTATGGCAAAGAGGCTCAGTTGCCCTGTGGCATGTGGAATTTTCCTGGACCAGGGATCAAACTCATGTCCCCTGCATTGGCAGGCAGATTCTTTACCACTGGACCACCAGAAGTCAGTGAACATGAACACTACAAGCTTGGTAGAAGAGGTGGAATATTGGGATTCCTCAGTTGGGATGATGATGCAGAAGTGGCAAGTGGCATCTGTCTGTGATCTTAAGAGTCATCGGTCCTGGGCTGCCACTGGGGTTGTGGGGAGGCCCTGCAAAACTCCAAAGGAAATGGGTCCTGAAGTCTCTCTTTCTGATCTTAAAAACACTGAGAGACCTCCTTGAAAACACCGATAGACACTGGTTCCATCTGGAGCTCGTGGGATGCTCTGGTTGCCTCAGTGGTTACCTAGAAACTCACACTCTTTCAGGTGTATCTTTCTTTATTTGAGGGTGGGGGAGGGGTGTACCAAGCAGAGCCAGAGAAGGTCTTAAAGTTAGCTGCCCTCTCATTCCCTCTCAAAATTCCCCCCCCTTGACCCTCCAGTGTCTCACTGGGTCATGGGAAAGAAGAGTCTGTTGTGGCAGACAGCCTAGCTAGAGGGAGTGAGCTGAGCTCTGAGGATGTCTGGCATCACAGTCCCTCGGTGGTAGGACTGGTGGGTGGTCTGTAAGCACTTTCTTGACATGTTGGTGCTGAGCCTATGTATCCTTGTGTGTGATCGTGGACATGTTTCTCTCTTCTTTTTTCTTGCCACATGTCATCCTTAATAGCGAATTTTTACCTTTTATACTTATTTGTATCTCTCTTGCCTCCATAAAAGATTTGAGGTCCCTTACTATTCAAAACACAGATACAGTATGACCGGAAGCCATAAATACAAAAATAACAAGATCAGGGCCAAGGACAAAGGAGGAAGGGGGAGGAAGAAGCAGAGTAATTGCACCAGAGAGGGAAAGCTTCAATTTAGGAAAGCAAATGCAATGGAGAACAAAACCCAGCTCCCAACTCCCTGGCACCTTGGTGGGCAGTTCAGCTACTGTAATAACCGGGTGAGCGCACCTCAGGGGCGGGCTGAAATGCCTGCTGGGGGCTCGGTGCTCGGTGAGCTGGTCCAGCTATTGCATCTCTTGAAATCTCTGCTTCCTCACCTATAAAATGAAGATTCACTTGCCCATGATAGTGGTCTTAAAGGAAAGGGAAGTGAAGTCGATTCAGTCGTATCTGACTCTTTGCGACCTCCTGGACTGTAGCCTGCCAGGCCCCTCCATCCATGGGATTTTCCAGGCAAGAGTACTGGAGTGGGTTGCCATTTCGTTCTCCAGATAGCAGTCTTGGGAGAATGCAATTCAGTGATGAGGACAGTAGCTCACTTAGCGTGGACTATGCAGTCTCTCTTCTAAGTGTTTTTTTTTTTTTCTTCTAAGTGTTTTGCACAGACAAATTTAATCAATTCTAAGGTGGTTTTTTTTTGCATTTTTAATATCTCTGACATTGATTTCTTAAAAAAGCATTGTATCACAGATTATTTTTTTTGTTTTCTTTCTTTTTTTCCCCACTTATTTCTATTAGTTGGAGGCTAATTACTTTACAATATTGTAGTGGTTTTTGTCATACATTGACATGAATCAGCCATGGATTTACAAGTATTCCCCATCTCGATCCCCCCTCCCACCTCCCTCTCCACCCGATTCCTCTGGGTCTTCCCAGTGCACCAGGCCCGAGCACTATCACAGATTATTTTGCAGCATTTTTCTTTCATTGTTGGACCTGAAATAATGTTGTAATGTAGATGATTAGATGAAATGTGTTATTAACTCATTCAGTCCTTACAATAACTTTATGAGGTAGGTGGTGTTTTTGTCCCATTTTACAGATGAGGAAGCTGAGGCAATGTAAGACTTAAATGATTTGTCCGAGGGCAAGCAGTGGAACTAGGAGTATATCCTGGGCTGTTTGACTGTACTGCCACACCACACTATGGCCTTTCATCAAATAGTTCAGCTGTAATCATTTCAACAAAAATTTCACAGTTATGTACCAGAATGTACTTACCTGGTCCCTCTTAATGGCTGTGTTTTCTGAATGTTCTATTGTTATATGAAGTAATGCTGATACTATTATTACACATGTATTTGTACAAATGTTCCTCACACACCTGTTTATTGTCATCTGACTTTGCTTGTAAAATATGTAAAGATAAATTACATAGACAAATTTATCCATCATTTCTATTATGACTTCTGAGCCCTGATTTTTATGCTTTAGAAAGGTTTCCACTCTGCAGTTATAGAGTACAATGACTCATTTGTGAAAAAATATATATATTTTTTTGAAAGTTTTTTTTTTTTTTACTGTTAATAGAATTACAGTATGATCCAGCAATTCCATTCCTGGATGTAGATCTGAAGGAAATGAAAGCACTAACTTGAAAATATACACGCACCACAATGCTTCCAGAAGCATTATTCACAACAGTCACAAAATGGAAGCAACTTAAATATTCATCAACAGATGAATGGATAAAGGATGACATGTGGTACATATGTACAATGGACTATTACTGAGACATAAAAAAGAATGAAATGTTTCCATTTGTAACACCATGGATGGACCTAGAGGGTATTATCCTTAGTGAAGTAAGTCAGACAAAGATAAATACTGTATATTGTCACATATACGTGAAATCTAAAAAATAAAATGAATGTATATAACAAAACAGAAACAGACTCACATATATAGTAAACAAACTAATGGTTACTAGTGGGGAGAGGGAAGGAAGGAGGGGCGAGACAGGGGTAGAGACCCACAGGTACAAACTACTATGTATAAAATAAACAAGCTACAAGGATATATTGTACAGCAGGAGGAGGACTATAGCTAATATTTTATAATAACTTAAAGTGGTATATAATTATAAAAATACTGAATCACTATATTTAACATCTGAAAGTAGTATAATATTGTGAATCAGCTATGATAAAACATTTCTTTTTTCGGGGACCTCCCTGGTGGTCCAGGTGCTAAGACTCTATGCTCCCAATGCAGGGGTCCTGGGTTCGATCCCTGGTCGGGGAACTAGATCCCACATGCCGCAACTAAGATGGAAAATCCTGCATGCCACAACTAAGACCTGGTGCAGCCAAATAAATAAATATTTTAAAATTTCACTTTGCACACTGGGACTATAAGATGCAAAGACATGTACTTGCCCATGGACTCCAGTGAGGGGACCAAAATATAAACAGATCATTATATTGTGGGACGCTAAGCACAACCAGGAAACATATCCAAAGCAGAGAGGCAGAGAAGGAAGAGACAGTTAGTTGCTTGAAAGCCTCTGCCCTGGGGCTTGGCCCTGTAGAAGAAGCTGCCCCTCCAGCAGGTCAGGAAGGGACATGTGTTTTCTTGCCTCTGAGAGGAGTGTGTAGGTGACTTCAAATGATAGGTGACAAGCTTCAATACCAGAGAACCAAATGCAGCAGCTCTTAAGGGAACACCATGTTCTCAGGCAAGACTTGAAAGCAGGCAAGACTCTGGGGGCAGAGACAGAGGGAGAGGTTCAGCCCCTCGGTGCTAGGGCCCGAGGCTATGTCCCTGGACACCCAGACCAGGAAGGTGGGGAGCTGGGACAGGGCTTGGAAAGAGGGAAAACGAAAAAAGAAAAATGGGAAGGAACCAGCTGTTAGGCGTAAGAAAATGCAGCTTCCAAAGGAATGGGACAGGGACTCCCCTGGTGGTCCAGTGGCTAAGACTTCCAGATCCCAATGCAGGAGCTTGGGGTTTGATCCCTGGTCAGGGAACTACACACCACAAGCCACAGCTAAGAGTTTGCACGCCACAACTAAAGACCCTATATGCCACAAGAAAAATTGAAGATCTGGAGTGCCAAAACTAAGACCTGGCATAGTCAAATAAATAAATAACAATAATTAAAAAGCAACAAAGGAACAGTTTAATAGTCTCTAGGCTACAGTGGGGGTGGCGAAGGAAGGAGCAGACTTGGAGGGCGATACTTGAGTTTGAGAGCCAATTCTGCCTCTTGGGAACATGTTATCCTTTGACTCTCAATTTTAGCACCTTCTAATGGGCATAACAACATCCCACTTACTACCTCACACGGTGGTTAAAGGACCAATTAAGATAATATATGTGAAATTACTTTCCAAACTCCGCAATGCTATGCAAATGTGAGTTATTACGATGCCTTTCTAGCCAGGGTATCTACTCTTTCACTTCCTGGCCCAATGATCTTGTTTCAGTTACTACACAGGAAGAAGAGAAACACAGGGAACAGGCTTCCCACAGTCACTAAAGGAGCTTGAAGCTGGCTGGGGTGGGGTGGGGGGTCCTCACTGACTCCTGACTTAGTGAGGAAGCCTGAGGAAACCGTTCCGGAGTCCAGGGGCTCTGCCCCATGGGTGGGGATGAAGTGCCAGCCTTCAATACTCAAAATCTTTAACACAATAAAGCCGCTATGATTACAGCCTCTTGTGGCCCAAAGAGGAATGGGATGGACAGCCCACTGGACCTGAGGCCCTGCCCTGCTCCCTGGATGGCCATTACACCAGTGCAGCGAGGAGGGGTCCCAGGGTGCTCCCAGCTGAGGCCTCGCCGCCTGCAGCCTGAGAAGGGACGGGGCGGCTGTCCCGGCGACGGGTGTCAACAGGCCAGGCCGGGGTCCGCAAAAGCCAGCTTCACCTCGTGGGGCCTTTCCCAGCAGAAGGAAGTGCGGGGGGAAAGAGGAGCAGTAGGCAGAGGCCACGAGCTGGGGAGTCAAGAGAACAGAGGAGAGTTGAAACAGAGAGAGGAAGTGAGGACAAGGAGGAAGAAGTGAGCGGAAGCCAGGGGGCCCAGCAACAATCGGAAGAACAAAGAAGCGGTTCCGGTTCGCAGGCCCGGCCTCCCCCCTCCCCCAACCCCCACCGCTCCCCTCCCCACCACCATACTGTGGACCAGTTCTCAGCATCTCAGGCTCCCCTCCACGCCTCATCCTCCTGGGAGACCGGCCGGCCCTTCCGAGCAGGGCCTGCCTTCCTTGGCAGCAGACAAAAGGCCATTTCTGAGTTGCACAGAAAGACGTGTTACTCTGCCAGCGGGGCCGGGTCAGGGATGCCGGGCCCAATCCTCGGGCGAGGGGAGCGCGGGCAGAAGGGGGGCTGTCAATCACCGGGAGCCCTCCGTGAAAGGGGCCCCTTGTCAACTTCCCCCGCCTTTGAAGTGCCTGGGATGGAGGTGCTCAATTAAAAGCCCATCAGTCTGTAAGTAAATCAACGCCTATCAGGCTTGTCACATCAAACAAACGATTATTACCCCAGCCCGCCCACCCCATTAATCTGGCTGTTCCTTCTCGACGGCTCAGGGTCAGGGCACCGTAAATCCTGTCCTGGATCGTAGCCACCTGGATCGGGATGAAAGCGCTGGCGCCACGAGCTCCGTTCCCAGGGTCTCCTGGAGGATGGAGGCTAGAGGAGAACCCGGGGACAGAAAAGGAGGCAGGGACACGGGGCAACGTGCAGAGGCCTGGAGCCGGACAGAGGGAGACACACAGAGAGAGGCAAAAAGAAATTGAAGGAGCTAAAAAAAGAGATGGAGAGAGCGCCCGGGAGAATAGACCCAGGTAGACATCATTGGAAGACACCCAGAGGGGTTGAAATAGGTGCCATAAAAACTCACCCAGAACGTTAAGAATGAACAGATGCTTCTAGAAGACACGGAGGTGTCTGGGGGAAACTTCTGGTCACTGGGTTCTGTGCCTCAGTGTCTTAGGCTCCTCCCATCCCCAGGACAGCCCCCGCCAATGTGGCTTAGCCAAGGGAAGGGGGGTGCTTTGCTGACGGATAGATGCCCTGTAGGGGACATCTCAATATGCAGTGACCAGAAGTGGAACTTTCTGCAGTGAAAGGATCTGAACAGACAAGCTGGACTGAGTGTCGAGTTCTGATGCTCTGATGAGCGAGGCCCCCAAGAACCAGTTTCATTCCAGGGCATTTCTTCCATGCTCCGTGGGCTGTGTTGTAGGCTCTCTCTGCTCCTGACATCAGCCTCTGGCTTTCCCCGGGGCAGACCCGAAGGAGGAGGCGGGGAGGAAGAAGAGAGGACAGCACAGCTGTGTTTTGAGCTTGAAGGAGCCGCCGGGTAGGAGGTGAAGGACTGGGGAAGAGAGAGGAAGGGGGTTAGTGTCCACTGTGGAGGAACAAGGCCTGCTATTTAAGGGCCGGCAAGAACAGTCTTTCCCCAGAAGTCTGTTCCAGAAGGTGCCTCGAGGCGTAGCTCACCCTGGCTCGTGATGTTGCCTATCTGAAAAGGGCCATCAGTGCCTTCCCCACTGCTAGAAGAATAATTCCCCAAGAAAACCAGAGGTGGACATGAAGCAGGGGAGACTGAGGAAGGGAACGTCCTTCCCTCTCCCCACCACAAAGCTGGATGTTGGTGGTGACTTCTTTTTAAAAAAATTTAAAACCTATTTTTAATTGGGGGATAATTGCTTTATGCTGATGACTTCTTACAAGACAAAGTAAGAAAATCCTGAAAAAGGAAACTGGACCTCTATCTTACCCCCTACACAAAAATCAACTCAAACTGGACTAAGGATTTGAACATGGTACAAACTACTAGGTATAAAATAAGCTACAAGGAGATACTGTACAGCACAGAGAATATAGTTAATATTTTATAATAACTTTAAATGGAATGTAAGCTATAAAAACATTGAATAACTATGTTGTTCACCTGAAACTAATATAATTTGCAAGTCAGCTATACTTCAATAATTAAAGAAAAATTTGAACTTAAGGCTGAAACTCTAAAACTCCTAGAAAAAGCCTAGGTGGTAAGTTCCTTGACATCAGTCTTGGTGATGATTTTCTGGGTTTGACATGGAAAGCAAAGGCAAAAAAGGCAAAAATAAGCAAACAGGAATTACAAACTAAAAAGCTTCTACATCCCAAAGGCAACCATCAACAGAATGGAAAGACAATCTAAGAATGGGAGAAAAGACTTACAAGTCACATATCTGATAAGGAGTTAATATCCAAAGCATGAAAGAATTCATACAACTCAATAGCAAAAACTCAAAAAATCTGATTTAAAAAAATAGAGAAATTGAGTAGACATTTTTCCAAAGAAAACAAACAAATATTCAACAGGCACATGAAAAGGTGCTTAGTATCACTAATCATCAGGGAAGTACAAATCAAAACCACAAGGGAAAATCATCTTTTAGAGTGGCTGTCATCAAAAAGACAAGAGGTAAGTGCTGGCAAGTATGTGGAGAAAAGAGAACCCTTATGCACGCTTACTGGGAATTAAATTGGTGCAGCTACAATGGAAACAGTATGGAAGTTCCTCAAAAGTTAAAAATAGAACTACCATGTGATCCAGCAATTCTACTTCTGGGTGTATATTGAAAGGAAATGAAAACAGGATCTTCAGCAGGTGCCTGAACTCCCATGTTCACTGCAGCCTTATTTTCCATTGCTGAGACAGGGGAACGACCTAAGGGTCCATCAGTGGATGATCGGATAAAGCAGATATGGTATCTATATCTATATATTTATATCTATAAAATATATAGGTATATTAGCTATAAGATATATAGGTATATATAGAAGATATATGGGCTTTCCCGGTGTAGAAGCTGCAGGAGATGCGGGTTCAATCCCTGAGTTGGGAAGATCCCCTGGAGGAGGGCGTGGCAACTCACTTCGGTATTCTTGCCTGGAGAATCCCCATGGACAGAGGAGCCTGGTAGGCTACAGTCCATAGGGTCACAAAGAGTCGGACACAACTGGAGTGACTTATCATGCACGCATGCACGCATACATCAGTTACATCTCAATAAAGCTGGATGGGGGGAAAGAAAATTCTCGAAGACACTCAAAACATTTACAATCAACCCTATCCTCCCCCAGATTGTGTGATAGGAAATGCTCACTGCAAATCCCAAAAGCAGGCTACCACCACTGCAGCCACAGGCTTGGGCCAGTGGGCAGGGTTTTCTCTCAAGCTAGCTGCCCACCACTCTACTGTAAACTATTCCTTCTGTCATTGAGACCCAGCAGTGCAGCAGCAAGTTTCTTATTCCTTTGAGTTGATAGACATGTTGACCCATTGTAAGTGTCAGCCAGACCATTTACACAGTTGAGAAATTGGATATAGATACTTTACAGTGTGGGAGAGTTGTCTGTCCTTTATATTTTCATTCATTCAACCAACTTACAAGTCTTTTTCTAAGTCCCAGGAATATAGCAGTGAGTTTGATGGGCAAGTTCAAGGGATACGTGCATGCTTTTTTAAAGAACTGGAGTGTTTGACATCATGTTTATTTATATTGTCTACCTGATGCAAAGAACTGACTCATTGGAAAAGACCCTGATGCTGGGAAAGATTGAAGGCAGAAGGACAAAGGGATGACAGAGGATGAGATGGTTGGCATCACCGATTCGATGGACATGAGTCTGAGCAAGCTCCAGGAACTGGCGATGGACAGGGAAGCGTGGCGTGCTGCAGTCCATGGGGTTGCAGAGAGTTGGACATGACTGAGTGACTGAACTGACTGACTGATGCCCTCATCACATAGGTATTTGCTGAGCATCTATTATGTCTATGTAATGTGGACCACAAGGAAGGCAAGGAAGAACCAGAAACTAATTCTGTCCTCCCAGAGGAGAGGTAAGATACACCTCACAAATAAATCGAGTGCATAGTTTAAGGTGGTAGGTGCCATAAGCCAAGAAAGGACAGGAAAAACTTCAGAGAGAAAAGATAATTTATTCAGGTTCCTCCTTTCTTAGTGAAGGTCTGGGATGAAGGCACATGTTAACTGTCCCATCATGGCAACTTTCAAATCCACTCCGTAATATGGTACAGTGTTGGCTTTATTTATTTTTTATTGCTGGTGTTATTGAAGGTAATGACAACATGGTTGATTGTCGTTGTTACTGAGGATACATCATTATACCCTTCTCTAGGAGGCAGGTGTTAAAACACTGAAATTCCATTTCGGGCCTTGTTGGGAGTTGGGTATGGTTGAGAACTCCCAGAAATTGGAGATGTGCCTCTCACAGGAGGCAGAGTGCTGCAGAGGTTAAGCGAATGCGCTCTGAAACCAGACTGCAATTCAAAACCTGCCTTCCGAGGCTTGCTCTCACGCTTGCCTGCTGTGAGGCCACGGGCAAATCAGTTGAACTCCCTGTGTGTGTTTCTCCATCTGTTAAATTGGGGTGATCACAGTACCGGCCTCATAGGGTTATATGACAATTAAATGCATGTAAAGCATTCACAACAGTGCTCGACAGACAGTGTCGTGTGTACTCAATAATGCCTGTCATTATTATTGCTCAGCCTCATACAAAGTGGATTCTTGAAGGGACAATCAGCGTGATGCTCGGAGGACACTTATTCAATTAATGCAACTGTCTTCCTGTATTTAAATATCTCTGAAGGTCATTTATATGAATTTAGTTTACAAATTCTTCCTGCATGCAGCACATGCATTCTAAATATTTGAGTAGTTTTTTTACTAAAATGATTTTTGTTCACATTTAATGTAATATCTGATACATACAAAAGGGTATAGGTTTGCATCCAGTATGTAAATTTAAAGCATCTGTGTGCTTTCCTGTCCTATTTCCTGATCTGTCCTCCAGAAGTGACCACTATCCTGAATCCTGAATACTTAAAAAAAAAAAAACTTAAAAAAAATCAAAGTATAACGTACATCACAGTAAACCCCACAGAAGTTCAGTGTGGAGCTTGATTCCTTTTAGAAAGTATGCACTTATGTAACTGTACCTAGATCAAGATATGACCTATTACTGATACTCTACCAGCTTCTCTGACATCCCTTTTCATCCTCTTTCACCACAAGGTAACCACTGTGCTGAATCATGTCACCGGAAATTAATTTTGGAATTATTATGTATGTATCCTTATGTCTGGGTTTCCCTTGTGGCTCAGACGGTAAAGAATCTGCCTGCAATGCGGGAGACCCAGATTTGATCCCTGGGTCAGGAAAATCCCCTGGAGAAGGGAATGGTAACCCACTCCAGTATTCCTAGCTGGAGAATCCCGTGGATGGAGGAGCCTGGCAGGCTACAGTCCACAGGGTGGCAAAGAGCTGGACACGACTGAGTGACAAACACTTTCACTTACTTCATCCTTGTGTCTACCTCCTTTCAGTCAGCATTGTATCTGCAAGATTCATCCATGTTCATCTCTCCGTGTGTATTAGTTGTTCATTCTTCCTCAGTGGTTGAGTAATATTCCATTGTGTGAACAAACCACTCAGTTGATTCATTCATTCTACTGTTAATAGACATTTGTGTTGTGTCCATTTCTTGGTGGTTATAAATAAGGCTGCCGTGAACTTTCCTGCATATGTCTTTTGGCACATGTGTGTACTCATTTCTGGTAGGTATAAGAGGAGTGTAATTATTGTGTCATAAAGTATGAACATATTATAATAGATACTTCCAAACAGTTTTCCCAAGTGGCTGTACCGATTTACGCACCACACCACCAGCACTGTTTGACTCCTAGTTGCTGTACATCCTTGATAGTACTTGGTATTGTTATTTAAGCAAGAATTTTTTAGTCATTTTGGTGAGTGTAGTGGGTTATTTTTCTTGATCTGTATTTCAGTTGCATCTATTAATTTTGGTGTTTCACTGCCATTCAGTTTAAAATCTTTTCCAGTTATTTATTGCTCTGTAACAAAGCACCTCAAAACTTGGTGGACAAACCAACACTTCTTTGGTCTCTTTCATCATAGGTTTTGTGGGTCAGGAGTTTGGATAGAGCATAACAGGGATGTCTCATATCTGCTCTGTGATGTCTGGAGTTGTGGCTGGGAACACCTGAATGATTGTGGACTGGAGTTATCTGATGACTTTTTCACTTACTGGCTGGTACTCAGACCAGGATAACTGGAGACTGGCCTCAGTGAGCACGTTCTATGTAACTTGGGCTATCCTGGAAGCCTCTGGGCAGTCAGACTGCTTATACAGTGGCTC